CTGCAGGATGTAAATGGCTTAGCTACTAAGCATGTTAAGAAATCCATTATACATTTCTAACCATTTCCTATACACTGTAATTTTTACAGTAAAAAAGGAGAGCCCAGCAATAGATAAGTGTACATGCTCACGTGTATACTCCTCCTCAGTCTAGAATCATATTACATAAAGTTATGTGTAAGAAGTGATTCTCATTTTGTTTTATTCTTTTGAACACTGAGAAAGCTGAAGCAGAACATTTGCAAGTCTGGTTTGGCCTAGCAGCCTGAAAGTTTAAAAGTAGCAATTTAGGAATAAACTGGGAAATATATATTTGAAAGCATGTTTTCTAAATAGCATCAAAAACTATTTTGAAATGCATTTCACAGTCTAGGCAGTAGAAAAGTTGCTTATTATCTTCTGTACCTAGATTGCTGGGCTGAGTCTACAGCAGTTTTTCTTTATACAACTTGAAAGATATACTAGTATATTCTATCAGTCTAATTAAAATACTGTATTTTATTATACAGGGTCTTATTATTATAATTCATTTAATGTCTCATTTCCTAAAAATTCTATTTCTGTGGAAAATGAACCTGATTAAGATACTCTGAGCTGGGGATTTTGATTTAGTTGAAAAATAAATCTACATCCATGTAGGTAGGTCTTGTTTGGACAACAGATCAGATGAATCTTGGAATTAAACATCATCTTTTCATAGGCATCTGTAGCTTGCATTCAGGAAATTGGCTCAAGGACTGGGCCAGATTTTATGCTGAGGCTTTTAGATAAATGCATCACAGGAGAACCGGGGCAGAGGTTACTTTATGGGCGGCTCCCAGGCCTATATCATAGCGATTCATAGAAAAGCGCCTTGAGTTAGACCAGGGTGGGTAATTATTTTCGCTGAAGGGCTGCTTAATGAGTTTGGTAAGCTGTTGAGGGCTGTGTAGGTAGTCCTGCCCCTTGACAGTTGCCACCTACCCAGTCACCATCTCAGGACTAGAAGTTCCTTCCCTAACCCTTGACCTTTGCCACTGGAAGTCCCTCCACTTGCCCCACAGAAATATTCCTTTTGGGAGGGGAGGGTTGCCCCCCCAACACTTGGGGGGAACCAGAAACCTCCCCCCCCCCCCCCCCCAACACTCCAAAAAAAAAAAAACTACCAAAC